AAATTGGGTCAGCATTTTCATTTCCCAGGGTGAACACACACACAGACACACTAACAGCATTGTGGTATTTTAAAGTGAACCCTGATGCACACACACTTGCACATATCATGCATAAAAGTGACACAGTATGCATGATGTATGCACACACACATACAGTTCCCAAAGTAGAGGAGATATTCTTACACCTAGACAAATATACTCAGCCTATCAGACACAATAAAACCGGGGTTTCATAATGGATTCTATTGTGTGTGTGTATTTGTGTTTATGAGCGAGTTTGTGAAATATTGTTTACATGGCTTCCATGTCCAGTCTTCGAACCACAGGAGAGCTGGCTCAGAGAAACCTAAACTCCCTTCAAAGACCCCTGAGCTTCTGTTAAAACAAAAACAAAGCTTGATTTGTGTGTGCTTTAGGGAGACCACCTTTCCTGTTCACCTTCACATCCCATAAGTCTATTTTAAAATCATGAACAGCAGAAGAAGAGTGGTAGTAATGGTGTGTTGCTGCTTCTATTGGTGATGCACTAAGTCTCTCAATATAATCACTCTCCACAACACCAGCAGATGGTTTCTGAATTTACATAGAGAAGAATTGTGAACAGGACGTTGCATGGTAATCAAAGTCAACATCATAGCTTTTTCATTTTAAAAATATTGGCCTATAGGGAGGCATCACTTTTTAACTGTTGTTGCAATTGGACTAAGGTCATTGTTCTGTTTATATAGTTGTTGTTACTCTCTCTTGTTGTTGGCGGAGGGTCATAATGTTATGTGATGAAAAGGAAAGAGATTTAGGCCAATAGAAATTTCACTTTCTGACACTTTCTTATCTTCTCAGATTTGCTGTGTTCATACAGAAATGTTTATACCACCAAAAAGTCCCTTATGTTACCGCTGTGTGGCTGCTTTGTTTTTTCCGAGTCAACCTCAACCTCAACCACACACACACACACACACACACACACACACACACACTTTATTTAAATCTAACTTAAAAATATGGTTAGTGGAAAATCAGCTCCGTCAACACTGACACAATCTGCACTTTACAACGCTCTGTTTGTACATGTGCCTTGACCTGTTGCTATCTGTCTGCTTTGTGAATATGTATTTTAGTTTTGTTTTTATGTTTTTATATATGCTTTTATCATAATATAAGCATCTATGTTGAATGTTGTTTTACTGATTGTATTTACCTGTCATTTGAAGTGAATTTTTTTTTAGGATGACTTTCAACATCTGCCCAGGGACTACAGATGAAAAATAGCCTGTTGGCTAACTCTGGCGCATTTACAGAAATGTCAATCAATGTGCACTGTCCCTGTCAAATAAATAAAACACACACACACACACACACACACACACACACACACACACACACACACACACACACACACACACACACACACACACACACACACACACACACACACACACACACACACACACACACACACACACACACACACACACACACACACACACACACACACACACACACACACACACACACACACACACACACACACACACACACACACACACACACACACACACACACACACACACACATTCTGTCAGCATCAAGTGACACAGCGGGCCTGCAGTATTCACAGCTGTCTGGATCAGTCAGCGGCCGGCAGCTGGACTGAGAGGAAGATTCATTGTTTGGTCTGAGCTGAGCGATGGGCCTGATGGCTCGACAATTTGATTCCTTACAGTGACATTAGTGTGTCAGTGGTGACATGACGGACCAGGGACATGTCAACTGACCTGTCTGATTAGACATGGTTATGGACAAATCGCTATAAACATGTCAAAATAGGAGTTTCCACTGATATGAATACTTTGATTTAGGAGACCATTTGACCTGTGACACATTATCAGCCCTATCAGATTTCCTCTACACCCTAATGGTGTCCAAAAGAAGGAACAATAACAATATTGTTGCAATAGAAGATTAGAACAAATACAAAATAAAATTAATAATATCAGATATTTTTTTCTCTCTTCCTTGGAAAATGAATCACACTTTTTTGTGTGTGGGTCATTGAGGAAGGGAGACAGTAATAACAGAGAGAAAATTCAACATTTAAGGAGGAGCTGGATTATTTTAATATCATCTCTGGTACATCAACAGCCCTTTTTGCAAATAACAAAGAGAAGCAAGAAATATCCTTAAGAGCTTTCCTTGGAAATTCAGAAACTCTTCAGAGGACATTACCAGCTGTGCTTTACAACCCAGAGTGATGACTTTCTGAAAGAGTCACAAAATGACTCTGTTACTCATTCCTGAAAGAGAGAAATTCTCCCTCTCCAGCCATAAAATAAAAAAAACCTGCTGCTCTTTCTCTGATTGCTGTCTTTCTGTCTCACTCTCTCATTCTTTCTCACACACACTCTCAGTCGGCTGCAAACACAGAAAATCCAGCTGCTCGACTGTGTCACTCGGCGCAGGTGCCCAAAGAACTACTGAGTTTCATTCATCAATCTAAGCTTCAAACCTGCAACAACTGCAAACTCTAAAACCACACACACACACACACACACTAACAGCTGCACTGTGATGAATGCCCTACATTGATTCCACAGGAAGCTGGTTCATCTGTCACTACTGATGCAACCCTTCCACTCTACCCCTTCAAAACACACACATACACACACACATGATCTTTCTCTGATTAGACTCCCAGCTGGTCTCTGCGACAAATGCTCCTTTGATGCGTCTTCCCGTGGGCCAGAGCCACCATGAGCCCCCTCCTCCTTCCACTCCTCTTTCTCACTCCTCGCTTCCTGCATGACATTAAAGTCTCTTCCAGCTTTCCCCTCGCCAACCGTTCGCTCCCCACTGTCCCATTCAGCATCAGCAGTCTTGTCCTCCAGCGAGAGGATGGGAGAAAAGAGAGAGAAGCAGAGGGAGGAAGAAGCGTCCCTGTCCTTTTGGATTCTTTCCTGCAGTTTGTTAACTGAGACGTAATGAGACGTCCACTTCATAGGCCTTTGTTTATATTACTGCATCATAGAAAGGACTAGTTAAAGGTCCCCTATTATACTGTTTTTCATCAATATATTATAGTTATATACAAAACATGTCTCTGAAGTGTTTGGCTTGAAATACCCAACAGATCATGCATTGTAGCATCCCATAATCCCCTCTGTTTTCGGCCCTGTTTCAAAAGTGCTGATTCTCTGTCTGTTACTTTAGATGAAAATAAGGAGCCACTCCCCACGCCCCTCTGAGAGATATTTAGTTTAAAAAGAACACAATAGTGCTCTAGGAGGAGATTCAGGTGATAAGGTGGGGGGGGGGGGGGGGGGGGTTACCTTGGTTGGTTATTGGCTAATGGTTACACAAGCCAAATAAACGTGACAAAGTGGCCAAAAAAGTGGCCAAAATCTGATCAGCTCATTTTCAGACAGGGTTTTATATAAATGGATCAGGACAAAAAGTGGCTTTTCTCCTGAAACTTTCAGAATCTCTTTACACAGAGGGGACACATGTTTATGTATAAAAGACATGAAAAAGTGGATTTTGCATAATAGGTGACCTTTAATGTACATCCACTTCGCTTTACTTCCACAGTGTGACTACACGTTGGGACGTAGGTTATCAGGAAGCCCACAGAATTATACTGGTGAGAAAGTGAGTTACCCATTGAAAAGGCAGGGTGTCTTTTAATTATTGCGAGTTTAAGAATTCTGTTACTGCTACATTTTCATGCATTTGACAAACTAAGTAACCCAGAGCTGACATGATGGGTTTGATAATTAGGCTAAATGTCTGGGATGATGTGTGGTAGCCTGCAGCAAACATCTCATACTGACACTGCAAAAAAAGGGAAGACACATCCTGTGTTTGTGTTTGATTTGACTTACCATGTGCTTGCGATGAGCTGATTGAGTATAGCAACACCGTTTTGCATTCAGATGGCTTATGTGAAATATCAAAATCCAGGAAAGATACCAGATTTAAAATGTAAACGCATAACTTTAGTCATTCTGTTTATGGGCTTACGTTTCTGTTTTCAGCCAGAATATTAAATATTATATTAAAAAAAATAAGGGTTTAGATTAAGATTCTTAAAAATGTACAGGAGGCTATTTGGCTACTATTCCACTACTTCGACCACTACTGTTGATGGAAATCAGGATTTTTTTTAACACTTATAATATCCTTACAAAACTAAAAACTTCTGACCTCTTTAAAATCAATCTCCTAAAAACGTCTTGATGTTAAATGGAGAACATCAATCTGAGAATTTATTATAGTGGAGGCATTAAACCTTACATTTTTAATACCATTTATGAGAATCTCAGTTGAAGCTCTTCCTGTAAGAATAGTTTTATTGGATGTATGACAAAAAATGATTGTAATATAGCTTTATATGGATCTGGTGAACATGTTAACGATACAGCTCATTCAGTATGATCCACAGCTTTAGTGAGGGTTGACCTCTGTGGTGAGTTTGTTCTGCAGGGACTCGAGGACACATAACTGGGAATCGTCAACCTTTAAAAATAGATCAGTCTCTAAAAAGTGGGAGTGTTCAGTTCGCAGAAGGAGGTATGAACTCTTAACCTGATGTCAAACTAAGTCATGTCATTTGTCGTGCATGACTGCTGGACGTGCAAAAATACAGATTGGACTAAACTGGTGTGAAACTGACAGTGTTTGTTCCAGACGTTAAAAGTTAGTTTAACGACTTCAGACAGAACCGGATTTAGAGCTGAACACCATCTCCAGACAGAAAGGTTTTGCTGTGACCCTTGCAGACATCCACATTTTACCACACTCGCTCATAAAATCCGAGAGGGCTCGATCTCACTTTGAGAGCTTAGACGAGAGCTATTTTTCCAGTGTTGAACTTTCACATTTTATTTCCTGCTAATGCAAGCACACCTACCTTTAAAGTCACAGCAAATCCAAAGAAATGATGTCCCCGATAAAGAAGCATGAGCGCAGAAGCAAAGGATCAGTCCAGGTAGAGCAGTCAGAGGGAAGCTTGTAAATATGGTTCTTTATTGCACACATGACATGTTTTCCTTTTCTTTTGGTGTGAGCAACAAAAACTGGCATTACATGTTTTACACCCTACTCAAAATTCTCAGTCTAACCCTCTATAAAAACAAGGTAACACAAAACAAAATAAAGGCTACTTCACATAAAAACTTACAACTCCACAAAAAAGAAAATATCTCACAGATTTTAGTGCACCACTATATGGATGAGGAACTTACAATATATACCATACTAGTATAATTTTAGGAAAAAATGTATTATACTTTTTAATGCATACTTATCACAGTCAAAAAAATAAAGAAAAACACAAAAATCCAGTGGGGCTAAAAAATAATTCTGTATTTTGGTAGCATTTGCCCTTTAATCACCTGAGTGCTAAATCTCTGAGACCAATGCTGATTGGTTAACCTGCCGTTTAACTCATTGGAGGAATGTTTGTTAAACAGAACAGAAGAAAAATAAAAGATTGACAGGTGAGAAGGTAGTTAGTAGATAAATGCACTGAATGCCCTGCGACAGAGAGCAGCAGTATGCAGACAGGCTCACTGCATACTGCGATCCTATTGGACGAACAGTTCTCAGGTGATCAGATTCAAAAAACAGGATCCATTAAGCCAACGTTTAATGGTGGGAAACATCTGAGTTTCCAATGCTTGGTCAAACTTTCCCAGTTTGGATTTTAAAAAGTATTGTGCATTATGCTAATTACGTGGGCGTTTCGTTTTTTTTTTTAACGCTTCACAAAAAGCTTTTGGCGAGATAAAGGGAAGACATAATTGGCACTTGATAAAGTACAAAAATATATAGTTTCCAATCATAGGGAAAAAGGCACTTTTTAATCACAGATGCGATATTTAAGGCAGTATTTGTGCTCTTTATAAAAGCTCAACTTATCGTATTTGTCATCAGCTTGGTGGTTGAGGCCTTTAAACCTCTGACATATAAAAGGCGAGGCTTTTGACAGCATAAATACTGTATTGAAGGATTTAATGGACGGATTTTAGCCTGAGTTGCTTACGGCACAGGGGAGCCGATCAAAAACATTAAAGGCCAATCCTACATTAATAAAATAAAAAAAGCTTTAGGCTGACAACACCAGATGTATAAAGGAGAAAAAAACTATTTAGGCTGGCTGCCAGTAATCCAATCTCTGTCTCTACTTGCTGGCGTTCAAGCAGGTGCTAAAGGGGGAAACACCCGCTTTCAGATCAAAGCCACAAATATGTTAATTTCAGAGAGGAGAGAAATGTTAAATTTGATGTAAAACACTTTTAATCCTTGTTCTTTGCTTGCTGAGACATGAAGAGAATTGCAGCAGTTAAGGCCAAGTTGTTTTTTGTTGTGCAGATTTAAAAAGGAGGAAAAAACAAAGAAATACATCTGGAGGCATCACTCAGTGGGTTAAAGTCATAATAGGGATTAATGAAGTTAATCTTTTGCTTGTGTGTCAGTGTCAATACCTTGAATTAGTGGAGGAGGGGGGAAAAGCTGAATAGAGACAAGAGAGCTGAGTGAACCCAGGGACGAGAGCACTGACACAGGAGAAGAATGAACAACACACACTGGCAGTGTTTCAGACGGAAAACAATAAATACTAGCTAGTGGAAATCCGTATCGGCATTTTACACTGGAAGGAAGAGGAAGGTTGTTTGATCCCAAAGTACTTCATATTGGCATGGTGTACTGGTGTGTGTAAGCATTATGGATGCTCCCAAATGGCCCAGTATTAGCCATTCTATCAATAAGCTGAATGGAGAGAAGTGCTCACCAAACAGGCAACAGCTGGTGATAACTGTAATGCTGCTATCCAGGCATAACAAGCCATGGAGAGAAAAGACTGGGGACAGCTTTAGGCTATCACACAACTCATCAATGTGTCTGTTGCAAATAACTCACTAAATCTACATGTGCTCATGAGAGGCTCTATACATAATTCACAGTTAAATTAATCCTTACGAGATGACTAATATGCAGCACAGATTAGAACGAGCCCTGCACAGATTAATGCTTAGAGTTAGAGGACACTAGTGGACAATTTGTGTGCAGACAAATCGCCATTTTAATCCTGATGTGCTTTGTTGAGCTGACCCAGAAGATAACCATTGAACTTAAATAATGTGCGGTTTAAACCCCGCCCCCCCCCCCCCCCTCCCAGACACTGCGACACTTCCTGTGGTCTCACGGGGTCAGTGACACAGAAAGACAGGACAACTAACAAGAGAGTCACACAGCAGCGGTGTGACTGAGCGGGAAGTATGAAGAGTGTCAGCAGATTTCTCCAGCGGAGGTGAGAGTGCGTGAGCGGGAGTGAGGACGCTTATCAACTCGTGCAGTTTCCAGTTAGGTTGTGTGTGCATGTGTGTGTGTAGAGCATATGTGCACAGTTGACTTTATGTATTGTGCGTGTCAATCAGTCAGTGTCAGTGGTGGCCAGACACCAGGTTTAATGTGTTAGTCCGTGAACCAGACCAAGGTAATACATTCATGAAACTGGTTAAAAACACAAGACAAAATATCAGCAAGTTAGTAAAATTCTTACTAAGAATGTTTTATTAAAATAAATGCCAAGAGGTTAATAAGAAAAATAACAGCATACACCATGAAAACTAAATGCAAGCATGTAAAAATACTTATGACAAGAAACTAATAAAGTAGCTAATGAGTTAAACAAGCTGGGAATTGGCAAGAAAACAAAACCAAATATAACAGGGAAAAGGCAACACTCCCCACAAGAGACAGTTTTCAAGATGTAGAAGGAAGGGGGAGGGGAGGAAGAGAGGGGATGTTTAGGGAAGAAAAAAGCTGCAGTGGGTTTCATAAAAAAAAAAAAAAGCACTCAGAAACATGATTAATATACATATAAAATGAGATTAGAAAAATACATTATAAACCTGTAACAATGGCTGTTAATTACATTATTATACATGTAGTAGGCAGGCCAGAGAGATACGGTAGGTATAGAGTTCACCTTTCACCTGATGGACTTATCCAGCCTTTCACAATGACACAGCAAGTTGTAACATTGCAGAGGGAATTTTTTTTAATACTGTCAAATGCTGAATAGCCATCACTTGCTCCACTTTAATATTGCATTTCAATTTAAAATAATAACACTGAAAAAGAATAATCCATTGACCTTTCGGTGTAACAGCTTGATGAAAGAGCTATGAGTAGAAAAACCAACTGCCACGGGTAATATTGGGATCTGAAAACTCCTCGATTTTATATTATGAGTTTATTTCACCTTCCAGCAATAAACTGTCAGTTGTTTCAATAACTGAAAACTATTTGGCTGTGAAATGGAGTTGCTCGTTTCATTATGCAGCATCTCACTCGTCCATTATAAATCTCGTGATTGTATTGATAGTTTGTTGTCAAATTGACATGCGGAGATACGGACTGGATGCTTTCAGTTTTCGGCTGTTGAAACAACGGGGAAACACTCCCTCCTTTCCATTACCTTGAACGTTATGTATTTTCCTCGGCTCATGATCAAAACATGTTCTGGCAGACGACTGCTTGCTATTGGCAGTTCGATTTGTTCTAGGAAGTTAGTCACAGTCACCAAAAATCAAGACAATATGATCATTAAAATCTAAATAAAAAGAGAACAAAACCTGCACATACAGCAGAGTAAAGGGCCATCAAGTAAAAGGAAAACAAAAAAATTATTTCAGGAAGACAAAACCATGGCACATTTTTTAGCTGGTCAAAACGACTGCTAATCTTTTTGCATAGAATAAGTCGGGTAGCGCCACGGTACGGTGGGAGCTACCCTGCTCGACTATTCAGAGCGTGTAACACTAGCCATCCTCTCTGCGCCGTCTCGTGGGTGCTGGATATTATTGAACACAACTGGAATACTCAGGAAACAGAAACCACTGTTGATAAGGCACTTTGATTTGATCTTTTTAAAACTCTCTCCAGGGGTCTCGTTCTGATTCTCGCTAACCTTTCAACGGTTATGACTGTTTTGGTTTTCGTCTTCCTCTCCAATCATATCCAAGTAACAGGTTTTTTTTCCTCACCCACTCCATTTTTCTGTTTTCCCCCTACACTATTTTTTTATTTTATTTTTTCGGATTTTGTAACTGCAAGTAAAGTATCAAAAGCTAAAATTGCCAAAAATAGATTTTTTAAATGTTTTTCTCTTCTCCAGCACCCTGTAAAATTATCTATTTTTTGATCTCTTCTGTATTTGTATATGCAATGACAGATATCTACATTTTTATATATTTATATATATATATTTATATATATATATAAGACGTATGTATAAAGCAATTTGAACAGGCAGGCATGGCTTTCACATCCTATTTTTTCTTGAGAGAGTTGAACAAAAGATTGTGGGCTCAGGAGCGAGACTACGATCACGGGGGGGGGGGGGGGGACACACACACATTGTGGATGCGCTTTCGGAGGGTTCGTCATTTCTTCAAAATAAATGTTTCGCCACAAAAATATTCAACACTAACAAGTATTTTTCTTATTGGCGGGAAGGCTCAGATTATGCCCACCCTTATGTCCCAACGGATGACTGGGGTTAGAAATAAAAGCATAATAAAATAAAGGCCAAATGTTGAGATGCGAAAATGAAGAACATAAAGGAACAAACACTCTTTTGGCAATGTGGCGATGAAACAACTGAATATAGAAGCTTCATGACAAAAGCATTTATGTACAGAACTTCAAAGTGCCCTTCCCCCTAGCAATGTACTGTAATTGGGTAGCGTGTTGATTTAGTGTTAATTGCCTGCGTTCACCTCCTCAGAAAAAAATAGCATTAATGGGTCAAAACTCCTCTGACTGACTGGCTGTGAGCTCCAGCTGAAGGCAGGCACCACAAACTCACACCTTCCTAACTCTGAAACCACAAGAGAGGCCCTCTGTGAGGCAGATGCATAATTGCAGATATATAATTAATTGGAAAACCCTTTGGCTAAATATGCACACTTAATACTTTTTTTGTCTTTTCAATCACAGCTCAGCTAACTCATTGAGATATTTTTCTAAATACATCAGGCACTGTATAATGGATGTAGTGTGGATGGGGGCGTAGCGATGGTCAGTAGCTAATAAGCTCTGCTCCAAAGTCCCCGAAGCCTCAGCACACCCTACTTTCATTGTAGTATTAATTAAAGACACACACACACAGACCCATCAGCCCAACTAGTGACATTCCCATCATGCCCCTCCTCATATCTTATTACTGCTGCCTGCTTCAAACATAAGATTGCTTTTTGTTTTCCAGAGGAAACCACCTGCATCATTTTGGCTTGTCAATTTCAGGCAAAGCTAATTAGTCAAATTTGAACAACAGAGAAACCAAAATCAAGTGAAAAAAAAAAAAAATGAAAATAAAAGAGACAAGAAAAACACATAAATCATAAAAAGCTCTTTTTGCAATCATTTCAGCCATGCTTTTTAAAAACAGACAGGAAGCTGTTCGGAGGGGCACACCCAGAATGTGTCAGCTCAATTACATTTTAGAGCTCAACAACTGCACTACATGTGAAAAATGACAGAAATTAAACAAGTTAATGTGAGTGTGTGCTCTCTTTCCTTCTGTTTCTTTTTCTCTCCTTATAGGTGGGTGTTGGGACAGGGTGGGGCAGGAAGGGGGGCTTTTAAGGGTGTTTCTGTTTAGAGGGAGGGTGATGTCATTACTCTGAAACCAAACGGTTTGCATCAAATAGATTGGTTCATTGAACTTTGATTCAAACAAGTGAGGTCACCAAATTAGAGTGATTAAAAGGAGGGTGGGCGGGCAGGTGGGGTGGGGGTCTTTATTGCTATATAATTCAGTGCAGATTTATGGGTAATATCACAAACACATCCACCCACTATATGATTCATGAAGAAAAAGAAAGAGAAAGAATGGGAATTGAACTCAATGAACAGAGGGAAAAAATGAATATTACACAACTGTTGGGTTTGTTGTGTTTCTGTGAAGATTCTGCGTTGGTTTCTATGTGTTGTCAGTGTTAGGGTAACTGTATGGGCAGGCGCCTCCCTCTCTCTCTCTCTCTCTCTCTCTCTCTCTCACTTGCGTCCGAGAGGCTAGCAAAAGGCAATTACCAGTTAACTGATCAGCAGGCAGGCTTGGGGCGGCTCGTCATTGGGTGAAGAGTTCAGAGGTCAGAAGGTCATGTGTTAGTTGCCGGTGGCGGCTAGGTGGTTAGAAACAAAAACAAAACAAACAGAAAAAAAAGATAGAAAGGATATTAGTGTCAGCAAGAAGAGACCGGAATGACATCATTTTAACAATAAAATGAATGCAATCTCTTATATCGCCCCCTGCTCCTAATTCCCATGCCATGTGAGATGAACCCGGCTAATCTCATTATAATCATGACGCTGTCACATCATGATGCCAACTTCTAAGCCCCCACCCTGAACCAGGAAGCTTGGCGGTTTAATTTAAGCGCACATTGCCCCCAAAATCCAAACAGAAGCCAAGAGAGGTCGAACAGACAAACAGAATAAGAACAAAAATCTAGTGTTTTAGTGTCTTTAAAGTTGGAGTGCACGTTACAAACAGTGTGATTAGTAGTGAGGAGACTCACTAATGTTATGTGAGGGATAACTGTGACTAGTGTTACATGTGCAATGAATAGATGAATCGATGTTTTCCCGATTCTTTCTCTTTATTTAGCAGTATATTTTTATATAATATAAATATACACAGGAACCATAAATACATTTGATATAAAATGCTCAAATATAAAAATGACAGTACCTCATGTACAACTGAAATGTTTAAATGTGGTTTTTTTCAATCTATATGCAATACAGTGGAGAGAATGCAAGCTACCTCAGCTTATGTCTGTGCGTGTCTATCTTCCATAGAAAAATAAAATGCTAAATACATTTACATTTTCAAGGTGAAATGTTGCGCGGTAGCAGCAGTGCTACGTGTCTTCTGCCTACCAGGTCTCAGATACAGTATAGAAATGTTTCTCCTTTTGCTTTGCTCCTTATGAGCGACGGAGATAAATCATGTATGGGAACAAACCTGCTCCATTTTAGGCTCTAATCTCACATCAGAGGAATGTTGACGCTGCCTGCTAAATACTAGCTGTCCTGGTGTCACAGCTGCATAAACCAAAAGCTGTTCAAATGACTTTTGCCTGAGCTTTGACATATACACCTTCTACATATACTGTATATGTTAAGTACTTAATGTAAACAAAATGTGCAGACCACAATCAACCATTTAGCTGGTGTGTGGGTGTATGGGGTGGGAGAGGTGGCAGGGGGAAAGGAAAACAAAATACAATACAGACGAGATACAAATTCCCAACTAAGGCATTGAGGCATAACAGGCATAATAATCATTGGAATTCATCAATCAATAGCAGAGTGTAGCTATAGGAGACTAAACTGACCTCTGTCAGCGGTCACAATCCTTTGGTAAGGATGGACCCGCGTGTCATGCCGTCTCACTTTAGAAGCCATTGCACCTAGATTGTAATAGGTCCACAAGGTTAGAAACCATTCACTTTGAGCAGGGGAAAAAAACAGTCATCTTTTACAGTAATAACATTCACATTTTTAACCATTAGCATACTAATGCTTGAATACAATAATACACAGAATAGAACATAATACAGATTATATCACATGTACACACACCACACAGAGCTTTTCTTTACTTGTAAAAAATGCAGTAGAAAAAAAGACTACGCAATCATTTTTGGAGTTTTACTTGGTATTTAAAAATGCATAACTTAAGTAATAAAAATCCACAGTGCTCAGAGTTATATAGAGGACTCTTTGAAAAGGGGCAGGCAAAGGGTACAGGCTCCTGGGCTGTCTGGGAAAATAATGTGATTCTTCCTCTCGGATCCAGAGGGGAATTGAGAGAAATTTGTCTCTTTATTTTGAAAGGTGGGGAATCCAATACAGCTCTGATGGTAATTGAATAGTGCCAGACAGCACCTGCCTCTCCTTCTCTCTCTCTCTCTCTCTTTCCCCATTTCTTTCCAACTCAATCTGTCCACTGGCGGTAGAGCCTGTCATTTTCCTCTTATACATGTCACAACTGATTCCTTCCTGCTGCCGTGCTTGACTCTGCCTGGTGTATAGGACACACAAACTGTTTGCGTGTCATTGTATGTTCAAGTGCTACAAAACCTGACGCTCACAGGAACACTGAAAATAAATCCAGCCCTCCCAAAGGTAGAGGGGACATTGGAAAAAATATATAGTTTTCCAAAGATTTTTTTCTGGTATTGTCAGGTTATGAGGGAGTGTTGGCTTATAACTACGCAGCCACCTACACTACTCTGAAGAAGCAGATGGCCTGACATTTCTTTATTCTCAGAGCAGCCAATGTCGGCTAGATACAGTAGCACAGGCAGCTGAACCAAGTGCATGAGTGTGTGTGAGCAAGAGTGTGTTCCACAGGGCCCTGTGTTGCTGAAGGCACCAATCGATAGTGTGAGTAAATAAAATGCACTAAGCTGGTGTAACCCTGCAAGTTAAAGAGAGGAAAGCCAGTCAGCTGCCCCCGTCTGTTCTGCACATGACTCCCAGAGGCGCGTCCAACACACAGGTCAGCTAAAATCACGCTCGTGTCTGCTGCTGCCTGATGATCCCTGGACAACATTAGAGGACTACTGTGTCAAATTAAAGCTGACAAGCAACTGACGAAGGCTTCTTCTGTCTTAACAGGGGAAGCGGTTTGCTTTTGTTCACTAAAGCCTCGATACAACATATGATGCATCAGACTCTGTTGCATCAATATCTGAAAACTGTTCTCTTTGGTCGCAGATGTGTTGAGCTTAAGCACCAATGAGAGTGAATATAATATACAGACCCTTGTATTGAACTGTCCTCCTGACACAGAAACTAAGGGGAGCGTCAGGTGTTAGCACAGAGCTAAAGTTCAAGAGGGGTGAAGCTATAACAATGGAGAGAGGGGAAGGAGAATAAAAAAAGGGAAGACTGGAGGAATTTAATGAACATCACCAGTGGGAGTGAGAGGGGAACTATCTGCAGGCATCAAGGCCTGCCTGCAGTGAACAGTGCAGAGAAATAATTTCAAAAGCTGCAGAAATCCAAGGGGATCTGCCGCCAGACTGAATATGCCTGCAGGCCAGTGCATGGAGGGGTTAGGGAGCAGGCTGTGTGTATGCGAGTGTGTTTCTCTCTGCATGCCTCATTTCACAGCGAGGCAAGTCCTCTTATATGAACCTTGCAGAAAAAGAGGCTATGTAAACCTGAGAGCATTAATGTTTGGCGAGAGCGTAATTAAAACTGTGAATATACCTTAGTCTAGATTATAAAGAAAACTTTCCAAGAGCCTAGCCCTCACAGGGTCCTTTTTGTCCCCCTTTGCCTTTTTAATACAGTGTCCATATGAGCCACAAAGCTGGTAATCTCATCACCCAGAGCTTCACCATCACATCCACCCTGTAAGTTTGTCTGTTTTTCATCTTCAGGTGGACACGACATATTTACCTTTCAATAAGTCCTGACTGTGGCTCATGGCAGCCGCGTCCAGCATCCCCGCTCCGGGGTAAAAAAAGCTGCCCTCGTGTCCAGGCTGGCCAAAGTTGGCACCTGCTGGACCCATGCTAGCCCAGGCTCTCTTACCTAGAACCCCACTGTGATCGATGGGGTACTCCAGCAGGGAGGTGGGTGCAAGGGCGTAAGGGTAATCGTAAGGGGTGGTGTAGATAAGCCCACCATCCGGTGAGGGAGGCACCAGAGTGGGGGTGCCATTGGACATCATGGCAGCCATTTGAGGTTGCCGGATGAGGTTCATGATTTGGCCCCCACCGGGTGTTTGGGGCCGGAGCCCCTGGGGAGGCAACACCTGACCCGTGGAGGTTATGAGACGTTGGCCTTGAGCGGCTGCTGCCGCCGCTGCAAGAGAGAATGCAAGGGTGGCTGCCATAAGCAAGAGAGTGAAGGACAGGAGTAGAAAAGAAAGAAAGAAGGACAAGAGATAAAGGTGTAGTGTGGTTGATCATAATCACAGATGAATAGTGAAAGGTGAAAATACAAAAGGAGGAAAAAGAAGGGGGAACGGGAATGGCAGGTAGAGGGAAGAGGAAGGGAGCAAAAGGAAAAATTAGTCCATGCAATGATCATGGTGGTGAACCACAAAAGCCACAATCTGTTGCAAAGGAAAATTAACATAGCCAGACAAAATAATAAAATGCCCCTTACACCAAAATACAAGCACACAATGCTGCAGTCATCCCCAATGCATTCAAAGCATACAAATCACCATGGCAGCGATACATTCATCTACTGGAAATGGCATAGGAGAGGTAAACAACACACATGCCAACAGAAATAGACCTGTTGATTATGTGTAGAGGAGAAACACTCAAATAAGAGCAAGTTTCACTAAAGACTCTTTAGGAATCAGTGAGCATAATAGTAACCTATATTTCATTTGTTACAACTTATAAAATGTTGATCCCACACATAGTCAGCAGTCTATTTATGTTGGAGAAAGTACAAATGAACACACAAAGATCATTTTTTCAAGTGGTTCTGCATCAGCGCGCACCGTGAGCTGTGCCACACAAGCTTCCCCAAAGGCAGGTCAATTTATTCCAGAGCCATGGTAACTACGGTTAGATGGTGGGCCAGTTCATCATGGTTAACATATTAGCAGATGTTAAATTAGGAAAATGAAACAGTGAAATTAATCAATTCTAGTTTCATTTCATACATTTGCACACAAATATAATACAGAAAAACCCAGTTTTTGATGTTTGAATTACATTTTGATGATAATTATTAGGAAAGGGTCCAGAGAGTAAGTGCACTAGTCTTTAACTAATATGTTAGATGATGAAATAGTTTGGCCTTTAAATCTTTTTTGTATATTTAGATCCAGGATGTGATTATGCATTTAGAAATTGGTGATTGAGGAGCAAACGCTGTCGATATGTGAGCTAGTGACCAACATGCAGAGTGGAGCAATGTGCTGAAAGTTTAGCATCCGCAAAAAAGCAAGTGATACAGAGCGATGGCTTCTGGATTGCAGGGGGGGGGGGGATGGATGGAGGAATGGATGGAGAGGAAAGAAATACGGAGTAGAACAGAATGGAAGTTGGTGTACTCATGGAGGAGTAGAGTAGGTAACATGTTTGGAGAGCTTGAGAGAGAAGAGTTCTGCTAGTGGTGAGAAATAAAACATCGTATGTACACAGTAGTTAAGACTAGACATTATTTAAAAAAAAGGTAAACAGTATTAATTAATTCCAACTACAGAACAAATATATATAAATATGTAAGGTCAATGATGTTAAAAGATTAGTTGTTTATGGTGAATATATTAAACTGTGGCCGCCGTGTGCATGGAGGCTCACTTACGTGTTTTGATGTTGTTGTCCCTGTATGTCCCATTGAGAATGGCCAGCTCCATCAGCTGCATCTTCTTCAAATTGTCTTCTCCCTCCGCCTGTGGAAAAACAGAAACTTTAATGTCCATTCACAATAACACACCAAACACTAATTCCAATTAATTTCACAAGCTGAGGCCCCTTTATAGGCCAATTGAAACAAGCCACATGACGACCATTTCACCAAAGTACATGCCCGGGCGTCGTTAGAGAGCTACAGTGGGGCAGCTAAATCATTTAGACAATGCATGTCATCTGTTCTCCTCCAGCACCGCTTGGATTGGGAATTTATTTAGGGAAACAGATTGAGATAAGCTAAAGTGCTGTTGTCATGGCAAAGTGCTGTGTTGTTACCAAAATGCTGACAGACACATTAAGTGTGGGAATGCATATTCATAATCCATATCAGAAGGATAATTACTGTAATTTTCTTTGCTCCCTTGTGCGCAATCAAATTCGCAATAAACGCCCAGGCTAATGTCAGTCCTGTCAATTAATGTTTGGATAAATAAATACAAAAGCCGCAGCCACTGTCATTATCGCCAAATTAGGGGACCGAAATTATTCTCGGAAAGCAATTAAGATAGTACCCCCCTCCTACTTACACCCATTCATTCCTCCCCCTTTCGTTTCTGCACTCCCACACCTCCACCCCCAAACTCCATTTCCCCTGAAGCTACCAAACACTCAATAACCATGACAACACAACAGCTCCTGTGATTTTCCAGGTTGTACACCATTATTTAAGCAGGCCCTTATGTGAATGACTCCAAAGTGAAGGGTGCAGAGACAGCATGCCTTGGTGCCCTCGGCTCCACCTTAAGTGAACTATTGACTGATATTAAAAAGGTAAATTAAAATGCTTTATCATTTCAACTCACAAACACAAAAAAGGTGGCTTTTGCATTGTGCATCTGCACTTGAACACATCATGGGCACACAGAGAAAGGCCTGTTCGGTGTGGCAGTAATAAAGGCAGGATGGTAGATACTGTACTCCTCCGTACTCTATTCTATCTCTGCACAGATTGTGTCTCCTGGACCAAGTTTAACAACAGTATGCGGCTCTATTCAGAGGATGATAAGGAAAGAAAGACATGGAAGGGGAGAGGGAAAGAAAAGAAAAAAGAATGAGGGCTCAGAGTTAAGCCCTCCCATGAGACTCCTCTTCAACACGGCCACAGAGAGAGGAAGAGAAAGAGCGAGGTTAAGCAAGAGAAAAGGTGACAGAGGCTGGCCTCCCTTGACTAAATATAAAGGCAGTGGCTTCAGAGCACTCACATTATTCAACTGTGTGTGTGAGTGTGTATGTGTCTGTGCAATGTTTAGTGTACCACAGAGCTGCCAATTAACGAAGCACGGAAATCTCTACTGCTTGCTTTCTCTTGCTGCCTCTGCTCTGGCTCTCTTAATTTAATGGGGAAACCTCAGTTTTTACCAAACTATATCACTTTACTCTGCAAAAACAGACACAAGGCAACTACTGATTAGTGTACACAAATATGGTACTTCAAATGTATTATCAATTAATTATTAATTGTGTTCAGAACTGTATCAAGGCAATCCCCACATCTTTGTTAACTAAATTAACAGGTTAAATATAGAAACAAGAATTACACAAATTGAATCTAGAAACCTATAACAGTGCAAAAACCCAGGTACCCCTTTGCCAAGCCACATTACATTTCCTCCTTAACAACCTTAGAGGTTCACAGAGAACAACTTCACATGCTGTGTCAACAATGATAACCATTATAGGCTAATTAACCTGGCGTCGGTCAATGGCAACCATTGCTAATATTGGCAAATAAACCCTACAGAATGGACAGCCATGATCATTAGATTAGATGATGTAATCCCTAATATGTAAACATGCGTACACAAACAAATAAACAATCCCTAAAACAGCCGCTTAACTGAAAGAGAGCAAGTTACCATTATTGAAAACTATTTCCAATCACTGTTACTTTCTCTTCTCCATCTTCCTCCTTATTTACATCAAAACACTAAATCAGAACTTGCCCTCTACAACTTTGACTGAAAAAAGGCTGCTACCACAAAATAAAAACAGCTGTTCTTTTCCTTTTGTCTTTCTGCGTGTGTATGTGTATCTCACAAAAACGTTGCCAGTTGTTCTTTGGAAGTGGGCCAAGCCGACTTCCTAGACAACACTGAAAGATGTGTGGGGAAGAGAGGAAAGGACAAAATAGAGAACACAACTTCTCCAGATGAAATTCATAAGGGGCTGAATGTGTAAAGTCTTCAAAGCTTAAACAATCTGTTTTAAAAGTAAAAGCAAATGTTTGATTTATTGTTACGAGTCTTTGTATGGAGAGCTGTATAAATTCAAATCTATGAAGGATGAAACCGTTCTTTGCTAGCTAGCTTTACCTGGCACACAGGCCTGCTGTCTCCCAACAATCCTTTAAATGGCTACTTAGTCATTCCTCTTACATGAAGCACAGGATGTCCTCATGAACAAGGTGTATTCCTGAAGTATGAGTGCAAACCAGAGAACTACAGATCCTTCGTGGCTACACTTAAATACTTTGTGAGAAGACTGACCTTTTAAATTAGACAAAATAATGAGCACATTTGGGGGTTGGTTTCTCACAAGAGTGAATGTTTGAAAGGGAGAACAATGTGGGTAGCTCAGCAAAAGGCTGCAGGCTAAGGACAATTGCACGCAGAGATATGTGTGTTAGGGCTGCTTGTGTGTGCTGTATGATGATGGATCTGCAGGGTTGTGGGGGTTAAATGAGCGCGGGGTAAGAGGATGCCACCATCTATCCAACTTTGCATAGGTGGCACACTTCCTGTTGAGAGGAGAGACACACGAAATAGAGGGCAGCGAGAGAGGAAGAGCACAGATGCTGCTACGAGGATGAGGTGTGCGCTGCTGTGTGTGAAATGTGTGTATCCCCAGTGGAGTGCAGATGATATAGCTCCATCTTCTCACAAACAGTTTGTTAGCTAAAGCTCCCAAACCCTGACATATCATTTCTGTTTTACATGTGAAACAAGCACAATTTCCCCCCCCATCAAAACACAAATTCCCTGCTGAAAAGTGTTCCTACTTTTCTCAGTTATTGTTCTCTGTGGTACAGTGTTAGCGTCCTGGTTTACACTAGTACACAACCAGTAGGGTAGGGGATTCAAAATGGCTGCAGATCAGGAGAAAACAAAAGATAATGGTGGCGTCACAGCTGGAGTGGACTGACTTAAAATGTGTAGCCCCGGTTGGATTGGGCCAGCTACCTGCAGCGGAAGCACAGCTCAGATGAATGTTTGATGAACAGTGCCAGAGAGAGCAGTTAACACTTTAATGTTGCCTCGCTCAAGGTGTCACCACAACTCACTGACTCCTCAGAGTGAATGCACCACCCATAATAAAACATTCACTCAGACGGAGACGTCACTAGGACTTTGTGTGTAGACGGTGGTGTGTTTGTGTCTGTGATGATCTGTCTGCTGGAATTCCCGGGAGAGGAATAGCTGCTGGTTTATACAATAGGAGGAATGAGGAAAGGAAGTTTTCCTTTATCATCCCTAACACGCACATGTGCGTAACAAAAACTCACACACACGCTCCTGTCCATCAGCGAAAAAGCCACTCAATAAAGCTGCTCTATCCACAAGAATCAGATTCAATCAATGAGGCCTATTTGTGAAATCAGCAGAGCGGTAAAAGCTATCAGGGAGGAGCAAGACAGAGGGATGAGGGAAGGAGGGAAGGGGAGCAGGAGGTAGGGACAGGGAGACGGGAGTGCGATGAGCTAGAGTAGGTGAGCCGTGTCCCCCTGCCAATACCTGACAAGTCTGCGATGAGGTCACTAGATGCATGCTAAATCACTGTCATGCTGCACCCTTTTCTGATCAAAGCTTGTGTTCATATGTTGATGACAAACAAACTGTAGCTAATGCCAAGTGTTACAGATAATACAACTTATGTCCAATGTTATATACCGTGCATGTGGATGAGAATAAGCAACAGATGAGCAACTGTCTCGTCATGTTTATAGGGCTGCACCCTTACTCTCCCCAGCAGCCCCACTCCAGGCCCTTTCCCATCCATCTCACCCCAGATAAACACAACAGGCGCCTGGATTAGCTTGGATGAATTTGCTCATGTCTATGGCGGCAACTGAGGGGGAGTTTTTACTCATATCTGGCAACAGTCAGCGTCTATGCAGCTCAGCTAACAGCTCAGCTTGCAGAGATGAAATGATGAGCAGAGAGAGAAATAGAAAGAGAGGTGGAACAAAAGATTACCAGGAGGAGAAAAAGCGCTGCAGACTTGTACAAGAGAAAGCGTGAATGATTGTCTTTGAGTTGGTGGTGAGATGGAGAGATATGCGAGGAGAAGAAAGGGATAGCTTGAGAATATGAGACAAGAAAAGACAGACAGCATAGTGAAAACCAATTTGTCTTCTCCCTAGTGGGCTGACATTGGCTAAGGCCTGCTTTCCTTTCCTGGCCTCACTGCCAGTCATCACAAACAGGCGTATGCACACATGTGGGTACACACACACACATATCTTAGGCCTTAGCAGGGCCAGGGTCAGGCTCTCTCCAACTACTCCAATTACCTCAGCAGTAAACACAGCCTCCTGGGATACAGAGAAAGGCAAAATGTGTCGAACTGAGAAGGAGAGGGGATGGAGGAACAGAATCTGCAGAATAGAGTGGAGGAGGTGGTATTGGGAGCCTCGGGGAGGGAGGAGTAGATTACTTCATGTAGAGGGGTGGAACTGGTAGTTGCTGCAGCTGGTTTTTCTCCCGTTCCCCTCCCTAACTCGCCTCCCTTTTGGTTCCTTCCCAAACTCTAACATCTGGAGGAAAATGATTACTCTCACAACGCTGCCAAGACGACTTATCAACAATTCCACACTCTCCAGAAGCGTAGGGTTAGGGAGAGGAATGAATGAGTACTTGTAGCAAGCTTCAAAACATCTCTGCACTAAATAAATAAGTGACAAGAAAGTTTTATCAATTCCAGTCAACGAAAGCAAACTTTGGTTGTTGGATTTGGATAGGAAATAAGAAACACATGTGCAGCA